ATGAATTTTCCGAATATTAGAGAATCTCGTTTTGTTAGGGTTCCGTTTTAAACAGGTTTTACCGTAAAACATCCATTTTTTCCCCCCGTTATTCTAACGGAAATTGGAAATATGAATGCGTTAGAAGCATTTGTTTCCCCATTCGAATTTTATTTCTCTGTTTCTGTTCATGCGTTTAATTCTTCTTCAATAAAGGAAAATATAAGACGGCGAAAGAAAAAGAAGAAGAAGAAGAAGAAGATTAAAAAGAAAAAGAAACAAAACAGTATCCAGACAAAATCTACTCGAGGTGTAACTACCCCCTCCGAATAAGATGGAACTGCTGATCAAGTTGTTCATTTCTTCCTGAGGGTTCTTAAGAGAGAATATCCTGCAGCTGTACCATCTCCACTCCAAGAAAGACAAGATTTTTATTTTATTTTTATTCTTTATTTTAAACATTAACAATTTTTAAAGAGTTTAATTGCCAAATTACAAACTTCTGAGTGATTTTGTACCGAAAAATCTATATAAATTATCACACCGAAGTGATTAGAAATGTTGTATTTATTTCTGATAGAAAAAAAAATCATTTTTATTTCCAGGATTTCTGTTATTTTGTTTGGAATTTTTATATATTTAATGAGATAAAGCACGAAACAACAAGATAATAATGTAATTTAATTAGTTAAGGATCGTATATTCGCCCTTATTACATAAAAAAGTCAAAGGAAAACAAGGAAAAAAAGGCAATTTATCCGACGGATCTCGTTGAAAATTTAAGCTTTTAACATAAAAATTTGGCACTAAAATAACCTCATTTAATTATTTAAGGATCATATTTTATACATATTCGCTCATTTAACAATCAAAATTCCCAATAAAAATATAATTATAATTAAAGAAAACAGTTATATAATGTTATATCAATTAATAAATAAGGTAGAAAATAAGGTTTACTACTTTGATTATTTACAGGGGTAGACGTATTTAAATTAATGCAGTTAAGGAGTTAATGTAATTAAATAAAACTCGATATTATTCCCTCGAGCGCTGTATAAATAATAAAATTAGTTAATTAAATCAGTTAAAAGTTATTTTATTTACACGAAAATAATTTGTATAAATTTAGAAATTTTCTAAAAGTTTATTTCGAAGAAGGAAAGAGAATAACGAAGACATTTTATATTCCTTCCTCGCTAAAACCCGTCTAAAACGAAACCTGAATTAAATGGACACCTGAACGGAAAGAATTCTTCGAAACGGGGAGATTTTCCATGTTTTAAAAATCTGTTTAGAACGGACACCCGTAACATGTTTATACAGGTTTTATTGTATAAGAATTCTTTAAAATAATTACAGTCGAACCTCGATTTAACGCCACTCGTTCTCCGAAACTGGCACTAAAACGAACGTGACTCCGATTGATTGAAGGAATAAGGGTAATCGGCAAAAGAGAGGGATTTCTATGGAAAATTGGCTCACGTTTAGTGTTAGTCACGTGAAGAAAACCCAAAAACCAAGTGTCCAACCGGTTGTTCGGGCGCAAACCCGCAAACCAGCCGTGGATTTTTCTGGGTTTTTAGGTTAGTAACACATAATAGGAGACAGTTTCTCATAAAAAGTTCTCCAGAGAGACACACACACATCTCCCGCGAGTTGTGTTGCCGCATACAAACAACAACAATACATTGATGAAGATTTTTCATTTTTGTTTCATCCATGCTTAACTTTTCTGTTCTTTATATTTAGTTCATTGTTCCGGTTTCATTAGTTTTTTTTTCCTTTCCCATTGTTTACGAGCCCCCTTCAATTTTTTTTAATTGTTTCTTTCGCTATCGGACTCCTCTTTTAGTTCTTTCTATTGTCTTCTATTTAATAGATATCGATGTTAACTTATTTTAATGTAGAGGGATGCTAAACATATGTGTTTCGGAATATTTTCATTTAATTTTAAAAGAAAAAGATAAGATACAAGCGGAAGCAACGAACTTCCTCGTTTATCATAACAGCTTACACCAATCTCTTCTGTAATATATATTAGAAGGTACAGTACACATTAACTTATTCTATAATCAAAAACTTTACTTATTTCTTCAATATTTAACTAAAAAGTAATGTAGTCAAACCTCTACATAGCGCAACCCGCGTATAGCGCCAATCACCAATAGCAATTGATATATCTGAATCATCGAATATAAGATTCTGTATTGACTTTCGAACTCCCACATCTCAAATTGTTAATTTAAATAAGTTCTTTTTGGCTTCAATTTTCGAATTGTAGATCTATCTATAAACTGCCGTTAGCATCCATCCGTCTGTCTGTCCGGCCTTCCTTAATCTCGAGAAAGGAGTAAGATAAGCAAAAGTCGAAACCAAATATGGAAAGAATGGAGACAGTATGCACCCCCCCATCGACTATATACGAACTTTCGGTTTAAACAGAAAGTCACGTGTATTCAATTCAAAAATTTTCTCTGATGTTATCGGGAAAAGTATGATTTACAGGGGCAATACACTACTAAAATCGAGAGCGTATACAGTCGACCCCCTATAACACTGTTGATTATTCCGTTTTATATGAATTCCACGTTGTACGAGTCACTTAGATTTTACAAATACATGAGCCGTTCACAGCCCGGCACACGTATTTGTAAAATCTAAGTGAATCGTACAACGTGGAATTCATATAAAACGGAATAATCAAAAGTGTTATAGGAGGGTCGACTGGGTATTATTATTATTTTTTTAATTTTTGTTCGCATCGTTTTAAATTCTTCGATTTAGCACCGATTTCGGAGTCGAACGGGTGTCGTTATATCGAGATTGTCTACACACACATACACACACATATATACTGTATATATAGGCCTATATATCGCTACAGATTTAAGCAACTCAGCAAGGAATCTGAAGAGCGTAACCTACCTTCATCTAACGGCATTACGTGGAAAATAATCTTATAAAATATTATTTTTAGAATAAAACAGAATATATTTTCTATTTTTATATCGTAAATAAGTTCTACTTTAAAAAAAAAGAAAAAGAAATAAGTATAATTAACCGGATGTGGCTTGGTTTTTTTTGTATGAATGATGCTGCGATTCTTCCACCTGCTTCACGTCCTCATCTTTAACATAAAAATCAAAAAAACAATCGGAAACAAAAAAATCTGAAGGAACAAGAAAAAAACGGAAGAAACAAAGAAAAAATTCCACCGTGAAGTGTGTGTTTATCATCTTTACTGTGTTCTGTTTGCTTTGTCCCTTTGTTAAGAATAATACTTAACACGAAGAAGAAGAAGAAGAAGAAGAGAAGCTTAAACAAGACTGTGTTTCGCGTGTTTTTTTTTAATTCTTATGCCCCGAATCTTCAGAAATTGATAACGTAATAAAGTAAAACGTAATTAATTTTTTTAAGTAGAGAAAAATACTTATAAAATTCTATAACAAATAACCAAGCGATGCTAATGGTAATCGATTAAATTGTAAGCAAAGTTCAAACCCCTTTTGAAGCATTTTAAAAGATTCTGGATTGCTGACAAATGACATTGATGGATGTAGTTTGGTCTGCTTAAGAAATAATTTACGNGCATCACCCACATCATACAGTTTTCTATTTAACTTACGCCCCATTCTCACTTATCCTTTCAGCATCACCCACATCATACAGTTTTCTATTTAACTTACGCCCCATTCTCACTTACCCTTTCAGCATCACCCACATCATACAGTTTTCTATTTAACTTACAAAGATTTCGTATATAAACCCTTAGATGTATTATCCTGTCAGACATTTTTTTTTTACCTTCCCTTCCTCCCTCCCTCCCTCCCTTCCTTTATTATCATTACTGTAATTCTATCAGATTGTATCATTCGATAGTATATTGCTTAATGGAATTTAATTATTTTTCAATCATATTTTCGTTTGTTAAATTGGTGAAGAAATTGAATTTTTCGTCAGAAAAAATTCTATTAATAATATAAGTGAGTTTATATTATTAATTACGTGCGCGGTTCCCTCCCCCAGTTTCTCTCTTCCTCCCTGTTTTGTGTACAATGATGCGATGTACTTTTGCCAAGCCCCTCGCCTTTAATTACGTGTACAATAGTTGATGGACCTCCTAAATTGGATTGGGTTGGATTGATGGGATAAAGCAACCAAACACACGGGAAATCTTCAAAGGGGTGGTGCCTCCTGGGAGGATTAAATATGGAAAAATGACCCCTTTTTAGGTGTTGGGCACGTGAAGGAAACCGGGAAAACTCGTTGTTGAGAAGTGAACACGCGTTAATGTAATTAAATAAAACTCGATATTATTCCCTCGAGCGCTGTATAAATAATAAAATTAGTTAATTAAATCAGTTAAAAGTTATTTTATTTACACGAAAATAATTTGTATAAATTTAGAAATTTTCTAAAAGTTTATTTCGAAGAAGGAAAGAGAATNTTTCGATCCTAGAACGAAAAAATTACAAAAAAATAAATAGGATTAAAGCTCTAAAGTAACGTGTCTCTGCACCGTCGCATCACATTTTTTTTTCAAAAATGACCCCTTTTTAGGTGTTGGGCACGTGAAGGAAACCGGGAAAACTCGTTGTTGAGAAGTGAACACGCGACTAACTACTTGTGTTCATTGTTTTATCTACTCGTTTATATGTGGGCACGAACCCCTTCCCCTCATACACTGAAGAACGAGTTAAAAAACGTGTTTCAATGATACTCTAATCACGTGACTAGTGTAATACCACGTAAACAATTCCTCGATCCTCCCCCCAGTGTACAACAGTATACTTTTTGCGACCCTCCTTAAACTGTACACGTAACTAAAGAACGTAACCTGAGTAATTTGCAATGTTTACAATTGTCAGACATTTTAAAGCATTTTAATTTACCTGTTATTGTCAAATTCGCTAGAGATCTTTTGAAAATCTCTTAAATTGATGAATTTATGTAACGATTATTAAGACAGAAATTTAATTATAGAGTTTATTAAACAATTATTTTCCCTAACTCTTTAGGTTATCTGACAGGAAGCGTATACAAAGATTACGCTCTGATGAGAAATGGCTTCCCTGCAGAAAGTATATCTAATGGTTCTGTTGTGTTGATTAAGACACACGAATGGGGACCCGCAGCTAGAAAAAAATACGACAAAGCTATATTATTAATTAGAGAACCGTATGGTGCACTACTAGCGGAATTTAATAGGAGAGCAGGAGGACATTTGGGTCACGCATCACCAGAAAAATTTCGCAGAGGTAAAGGTGAGTTTACTCACTAAAATCACACTCATTTCCATTGTTTTTTTCCTTCCAGTTAAGTTATATTTTTATTTATCCTTTCAGAATCACGCCAGTGGCGCGTTATGGCTACGTGGGGCCCTGCGAATTTAAATTAGGGGGCCTCATGTACAGTGTCGACTTCGGACATTTCTTTAGGGGAAGTGTTTTTTTTCTAATAAAAATTGGTTTGGGGTCCCCTGTTGTTGGGAATCGCCCTTTTTTTGCTCGTAGGATAACGCACCACTGCATCCATCACATCTATTTCTTTTTATAATTTTATCTGCTACGTTCTATTTATCGTTTCAGTATCATCCATGTTTCTACTATTTCTAGCTGGGCTGCAAATTACAAATTGCAGACCTATACATTCCCACTGTCAGTCTGTCTGTCCTTCGTTAATCTCGAGAACTGAGTAAGATAGATGACCGGCATGACTCGATTGTTATCGGGAAAAGTATGATGTACAGGGGCAAGACACCACTAAAATCCAGACCAGATATGGAAAGCTTAAGGCTCCTGAGACCTGATTAACTACATATTAACTTTTGGTCTGGACCAGAAGTCAAGAGTTTTTTTTAATTAAAAGATTATTAAAAATTGTAGCCCGGCATTGTGACTATGTCACAATAAATAATTGCTTGTTACGTTCTTTTTTATTTGTCATTTCAGCAACATCTGCATTTCTAATGTTTTTTAGTTACGTCCCATTCTCACTTACCCTTTCGGCATCACCCACATCATACAGTTTTCTATTTAACTTACGCCCCATTCTCACTTATCCTTTCAGCATCACCCACATCATACAGTTTTCTATTTAACTTACGCCCCATTCTCACTTATCCCTGTTACTTTTCATCTTCATTTATCTTTACAGTGTGGAGGAATTACGTGGCAATACAGACTAAAGCGTGGATGAACACCGTACTGGACTGGTTAAATTTCGAGGGACCATTACACATAATCCGTTACGAATATTTCGTGCAGAACCTATCATCCGAGCTGTCTAAAGTGATGAAATTCCTCAATATAACGGTACCATGGTCCACTTTCCAATGCGTTCTCAGGAATCGCGATGGAATCTTCCGACGTTCGAAGAAGGAACTGAAATTCGAACCGTTCGATGCCTCTATGAGAAGAACAATCGACAGGTATAATGACATCGTCAAGAAGGCCATAAAACTGCATTTTCAAGGCGTTCGAGTCGATTTGGAACATTTAACAACGCAAAATAGGACCGACTTCGATCGAAATGAAACAATTTTCGTTACCACGTGACCCTCGTCTCCTCTCTTATTCTTCCTCCTCCATCCCCGCTCCGACGATTCTTCCATACAAGAGACTATTTTTAAGTGTTACGTCTCTACGTTTAACGAATACGACAACAGGTACACTAGTCGCCAACGAAAGGTGGCCATTTTTAAATAATCGAAGGAGTAACGTAGGCTTAAGTGTAGGAAATTTCGATCCTAGAACGAAAAAATTACAAAAAAATAAATAGGATTAAAGCTCTAAAGTAACGTGTCTCTGCACCGTCGCATCACATTTTTTTTTCACCATCCCCATCCTCTCTCTCTCCTCCATCATCGCCATTATCTTGATATAAAACACGCCGAACCCCGATTTAACGAATTCGATCGAGAATGGCGCTAAACCGAAGCGATTTCGAGTCTTGGGGGGTTATGTGTGTGTTCGAGTCTTGTGTTCTCATTTCACGTGATTTTTGGTGATAATACAAAGGGGACACACGTGCATTCGGCGCTATATCGAGGTTTCATTGTATACAATATAAAAATGATAAATTATATATATATATATATATATAATGTGATGTTTTCCATGGGAATATATTTAATTTCTAATATCACGTTTTAGAATATTCTAGACAAGAATTTTTTAATAATAATAAAATCAAATCGAATAAAATAGAATTAATTATTCTGTAATTTTTATTTACTTATTTACAATTAATAAATTTTGAAAAAAAAAATATTTAGATTTTATTTGTTTTTTAATTCGCGAAATTTTATATATTTAATCATTTAAAAATAATAAAATTATATTATAATAATGGCGATCATTATTATTATTATTATTTTTATTTTTATGTATATCCCTATTGTATTGTTTAAATGACGATTTTAATAAAATACTTATTTTAAATTACGGCGTAGAATATTTTTAACGCGAATATATTACATAAACTAGAAGGGGTGGACCAAAAGTCGGTTAACCGAGATGTATTATTTCAAAGGTAAATATGTTAACCGACTTTTGAACCACCCTGTATATCAGGAGTAAGTATTGTATGTAAAAGCAGACATTTCTGTGTAACGAATCCATCAGTTTTATCCCCCGAAATTACCCTATAATCGGAGTAAATACGCGATAAATTCTATCAAAATTTCCCTTTTCTACTGACAACCGTATTAAAATCTCCCTTTCTGGTGTCATATCTGCTCAAACGCTCTTACTGTAGGTTATGAGGGCCGAAAGTCACTCATATACCCCTATTTTTCGAGGATAATATCGTGGGTTTATGCCTTAGAAGTGTATAGTACTCTACAACCAATAATCCTAGTATCGATACAGGGCGGTCCAAAAGTCAGTTAACCGGGTATGTTTGTAAAGAAATTTGGCTTTAGAAACAAAGTAATACATCTCGGTTAACTGACTTTTGGTCACAGGGAATAGAGGGCGATCGGGAGCTTGACTTTTAACAGGATAAAATTAACAGGGGAGAGCGAGTAAATTAAGTAAATTAAACAAATAAATAAATAAAGATTCAGTGTTTGTTTTTGATCCTAATTAAAATTAAATTTTTTTTAAGTGTAAATAATCGTATAAAAACACGAAAAAAAGTCTCTCTAATTAGAGGTAGGAAAAGGTCACTTTGAGGAAGGAAAAAACCTCTAAAAAAAACGAAATTTAAATGCAAATAAGCCGAGGAATGAAAGATTATAACACGAAAATAACGAGAAATGAAGATAAAGAATAGGAAAAGATGCGGGCAATACGCAGCCCAAAGAGGTTAAGGATTGGAAGGTGTGGCAAAAATAAGAGAGGGAAGAATTCAGAGGTTAACGATGAAAAACATAGACGATAAGGATAAGATACGGAGGGTGTGGCAATGTGGCGAAAGAGGGTAATAAAAACTTGGAGGTTAATGATGATAGTGTGTGAATATATGATAAGAGAATGGATTCCAGTTATGTCTCGTGTTTAGAATAATTTAATAAATATTGAAGAGGTATGATTAAAAAAATGCATTTATTCGTGTAATGATGATGATGATTTTTCTACAGAATACGGGATTATAATTAAGGATAATGGAGTTTTAATTGTTATGCATTTAAATTTTAATTAAGAGAAGTATTAAATGCATTTTTTTCTTATCTAAAATCTCGTATATTTTATAGATAAAGTAGACAAAAGTGATGCTCGTACTCATAAACGAAGAGATTCTAGCTATAGAAACTTTAATTAAATAAGCTGTAATGATGATAATGATGATGATGATGATGTATGAGGAAGACAACTCATTCATTCCCGCTAGGATGAGTCAGAAAGGGGTGATACCATTAAACCTCTGAATCAGCAATGCCCTCCGGCTGTAACATCAATTCACATAAAATGGCAGAGAAAGCCATCAATATTGTTAAATTTCATAAACTTCTGGTGAAATTTTACAAGTTTTTTAAGTATATTTATCAATTTTTATGTGTATAAAATGGATGATAATCTAATTATTTCGTCACAGTTCATCCAATACTGCCATAGTAATTGACACTCGGTCGTCATGACGACATAATGCCATTAAGCATCTGCTGTCGACTCTCAAACAATGAGAAGAAGGAAATAAAAATCTTCACTTTTATCTAAATATTATTCGAATTTAATCTTTTAAATAGAAAATAGAAGATAATTTCGATAATATCTTATACAAAATATGAGAATTTCCCTGTATAAATTATATTAAAATCTCATAGAATTAATGATCATTTCTCCTTCTCTTCTTTCAATTAAATTGGAAGAGGAGAAAATAAATAAATAAATAAATTTTATCTCCATTTTTTACGCAAATAAGAGCAATTTAACTCTCGTACAAATTACAATTACTTTAATAATAATAATAATAATAAACGTGATTAAATTAGACGAAGTTAAACTCGATTTCTACACGTTAATTGCGATTAAGATGATTAAAATTAACTAATAAACGTGTGAAATATCATTAAATTAATCTTTTTTACATGAAAATTTCGTTATATATTTTCTTTTTAGCGTGTATTTTACACATCAGAACGCATTTAATAAATTAAAATGGAAGAAATTGAGCAAATTCTACCTCCTATCCATCCTATTGCTCTTGCTCTTCCATTCGTCTCTATATGAGAAAAACACATCGAAAGATAAACTTTTTCTTGAAATATCATTAAATTAATTTATTTTACATGAAAATTTAATTATATATTTTTATTTTAAGTGTTTTTTTTACACATCAGAAAGCGTTCAGTTAATTAAAATCGAAAGAATTGAGTGAATTCTAACCTCTATCCATCCTACTGCTCTTGCTCTTCCATTCATCTCTATATGAGAAAGATAACTTTTCCCCTTGAAATATTATTAAATTAATTTATTTTATATGAAAACTCGATTATATATTTTCTTTTTAAATGTTTTTTTATACGTTAGAGCGCATTTAATTAATTAAAATCGAAGAAATTGAGCAAATTCTAACTCCTATCCATCCTATTGCTCTTGCTCTTCCATTCATCTCTATAGGAGAAAGACACATTAAAAGATATTTTATTTATTTTTAAATTAATGAATTAATTTATTTTACATGAAAACTCGATTATATATTTTCTTTTTAACACGCTCTTTTACATGTTAGAAGGTATTTAATTAATTAAAATCGAAGAAATTGAGCAAATTCTAACTCCTATCCATCCTACTGCTCTTGCTCTTCCATTCATCTCTATACGAGAAAGATACATTGAAAGATAAATTTTTTCTTGAAATTCCTTTCTATCATCGATCCAATTTTGTTTTATTCATAAGGTATCACTTACTGTACATATTAAATTTTAAAATTCAAACACATTCGTAAGAAAGCTGATATCTTTACCAAGAGATGAAGTAACCTTTAATATTTTACTTGAAACTTTCTTCAAATATATAAATATATATATAATTTTCGTTTCATATACAACATCAACAAGTATTTTGTATGTTCTTTATAAAATATAATCATAAAATTTATTCAACCAAACAGATTTTATGGTAGGAAAACTAGAAAAATCATCTCCCATTTGGAGAGAGAGAAGAGGAGGAGTAAAAAAAAGGAGAGGAGGAAAAGGGAGATGAAAAATCTTTTTATTCCTTCATCCGGAGCATTCGGAAGCAATTTAAGTTTATCATTTTGCTTGGATGACAAGACAAATTGAATTGTCGAATTTGTAGATTTTGACTTAAATGCTCTTGTTTATATCAAATTCGGTTGCACGAGTTTACGCATGAACAAGTCGATAAATCAGCGAAGGAAACGTTAAAAAAATCAATAAAAATGCTTAAATAATTAATATTTCCTCCTTAAATAACGCTTAGAACACTAAATCCAGATTTTTACTGCATTAAAAATCGTAAAAACCCCGTTTTAGCGACGATTCGGAAATCGATGCTAAATCGAGTCTAGCGCTAAACCGAAGGATCTTAACGAGTGAGATTCATACACGTTTGAACCTCGATGTAGTAAACTCGTATATAACGCCAAAATGGCAAAGACATTTCGGTTAAAATAAACGATTTAGTCGAAGTATATAAGTAGGAGAGCGCGAGAGAAACAGGAAAAAAAAAGAAAGAAAAAAAAAAAAAAACATAAAGTTTGTCCAAGTAAATCCTACAATAACTATACAATTTGTAAGGATTATCTTTAAGGATCAAACAGAAGAATCGAAATTATCCATTTCCTTTCAAATTAAACTGGTTTGGAATTAAACAATGCCTATAAAAGGAAAATAGACGATAAGAGAAAGTTAGGTACTAACTAGATTGTCTTGAAACTAATGGGGTAATTTGCGATAAAAAATGCTGATTTTCTTCACAAAAACAAGAGAAAAACAGAGGAAGAAACATCAAATAAAAAGTAAGTCATTTTCCAAGTTTTTTAAAAGTAAACATAATCATTTAAGTGATTTAACATAGATTAAAAGTTAATTTTTGAAAAATGGTGCGGGTTATATGCCGATTTTAAACAGAAATTACAAAAATACTGTGTTTATGGCCAGCTGTTGCTCCGCAAGAACAGGTTATACAAAAGGTTTTAACCTCGATATAGCGATTGTATGCAGTTTCGGGTTATATACGCACCAAGACATAGCGCCGTAGTTTACTTAAATGAGTTACAATGATACGTTAAAACGAGTAGAATCGTTAACGCACCCAAAACCTCGTTATAGTGCTACTATTTCTTCGTTACTACATCGAATTTTTTCGCTAAACCGAAGAGATTCGAACGGTAATGATCAAGTACAGTCAAATCCCGATACAGTGCAAATACTTCGGTTTAACGCCACACCTGATTTAGTAGCATTTGCAGAAGCGAACGAATGGCGGCTCCTAATCGACGATGTTTAGGGTATGCGCTATATCGGGACTAAATGAAACTAATGGTATAAATATGTAAAATTATAAGAGATATTTAAAGAAATATTCCAAGAATCTCCGACATATTCCTATCGATTTTTCTATATTTAAATAAAGAAATAGATAAAAGCTAAAGATGGAAGTTGTTTATTGGTGTCAAAAGTCAGCTTTATCATTTTACTTGTC